ATTGATCCCCATTCTCTACATTTGCTTCTTGTAACGTTGTTCTGGTTTGGAAATTAATACAAGCGATATTGAGAAGAGCAAATTGAACGGTGAATGGATAAATGCTCTTGATCAACAAAGTGACACTTATGCTCTCAAAGGAGATACACGTGATGTGCACATGATAAGAATTAACGCTAGTTTAGATGAAATCTATGGAAAACTAATGGTAAGAGGAAAATCGTAAACTAAGTGAAAGTTCAGGAGGTAGCAGTTTATTCCAAAACCATATATAATCATAATAATACCATCATGTGGTACACAACCCACTTTCTCCTTTACTAAATTCTCCATTTTTTGTAACTTTTTATTTTTTAAAAATGAACTAGCTGGTGACTTTGTGACGGCTGTTGTGCTAGGATAGCACCAAACCCTTGTGGAACCAACTCAAGCTAACCCACAGGAAATATATCAAATAAAATGCAAGAACAAAATATTAAAGACACCAAGATTTTAACGAGGTTCCTCAACAGTCAGTGTAACTGGAGTACGTCCTCGGAGCAGTAGGAGCTCACCCAAGAATCCACTATCAACCAAATGGGAGTTTACAAAGTGTTGGCAATCTCACAACCCAAATAACCCAATAACTCACACTCTAAAGAAACAAATAGAGAAAGAAATATAGTGATTAATTTCTTCTCTATACAAAGCTCAAAGCTATTACAACAATAACACTTTGATGGAGTGAGAATTATCCAATGAAAGGAACAACAACCCCTTCTCTGAAAATGGTACTGTAGCAGTACCTTCTTTCTCTCCCTCTCTTCTCTTCGGCTCTCTCAATTTTCTGCACTCTATTTTCTTCTCTTCTATCCCACTCTTACTTCTCATTACAACCAAAACTTATTATTCAAAACCTCAACCGTGACTTCCCATGGACCAAGACAAAAAACCTTTTCCCTATTTTCCTCCCCAAAACAAGGAAAGGTGTTGTCCACCTTTGGTTTGTTTAATCTAAAGTATATGGCCACTTGGCCACATAATCCAACAACGGCAATCCATCATTTAGTAATCCGGAAGATTCACATAAGCATTTCTGCCTATTCTTGGCCACCATCATGCGATTCACAGGCCAAAAATCGAGAACGTGCTGTGTGAAATAATGCCCATTTTTATCCCGTTGAAATTCTGAATTCAATCCAAATAAATTAGAAATTAGTCCTCTGTCAACGGCCACTAAAGTCGTACTACAAAATTTCCAGAATCTAAAAGCTGAGCTACAAAAGTGCTTCTGGTTTGGACATGGACAGACATTCGTGGACCAAATCGAAATGTTCCCAGCAGCAGAATTTCTACAACTCCGGAACTGTCGTTGATGGGGTTGTCTCTGTTTGCGCCACCCAAAACAACTGTTTTTTTCAGGTTTCTTTGCATATCAGATTACGACGTACCTGGAACTACTAGAGTTGTCGGGCCTGAAAAATCCCAATTAATTCTAAAGCTTTTTTTTTTTGATAAAACCTCGCATTGGTCTGACTGTACATGTGGTAACTATTAAGTTGTAAACAATATCTGTGTTGTTGAAAGTGAGACTTTGGATCTTCTCTATGATAAGTTGACATAGTATTAGAGCCAGTGAGCAGGCCTGTATTGCCACGTGTTAGGTGGATTCCAACTAATATCTTGACATTTTGTAATAAAACCTCACATTTGTCGAACTGTGCAGGTAGTAAGAGCATCCCCAGTGAGGGCCTATATATGGGTTGGAAAAAATAGTGGATATAGCTCATTTTAGAGCTCGGAGGAATATTTGAGGCTCTAGAAAAGAATATCTCTCAATGAGGGGCTACTTACTTTCTGGCTCTTTATAGGGCTATATATATTTATTTATGTAGTAATTTGATTATGTGACAAATTTTGTTTGTATTAACTTTTTCTTAAGTTAATTTTTGGATGTGCTATCTCAAAAAAGAATTTATGAACATTTCAACCTAAAAAAATGTAAATTCTGACAAAGTTAGAGTTCATCACTTATGAACCGTTAGATTATGTTTTCTTATCTCAATTTTATTTGTTGGTTTGTTTATCTGAAATCGGACAAGATAAGATTTTATCTCATAACTAAATTGTAATGCCCTTCCAATTTAGGTATGTTGTTTGTTTATGTTTTCAGTTTAGGTCTCCAAACTTCCAATGTCATTTAATATGTAGTGCACTTTTATTTGGAAATTAATAAAAGTAAGCCCTTTTAGATGCAAAACATCTTATATCATTTTATGTCCTAAACATTAAACATGCCAATAAAATAGAGGATCCTTGAAACAAAATAATGTAAAGAAAAATAATTAAAAAAAAGAATAAAAAGAGAGTACGAGTGTATTTGCAACCAACGGTTGAGAGGGGGAAGAGTGGAAAATTTTGGCTCACATAAATATCTACTTTTTTCGCACATAGGTATCTACTTTTTTTCGTGGGATAATACTTGTGAGGACCGAATACACTCACATTACCATTTAACCCAATCAAATCAAGGCATCTGTCATTTAAAACTCTCTATACCTATAACCAAGCAACCAACTTTAACCTTACACCTATAACCAAACAGTTCCTCTCTCCTCTGTCCCATGCCGCAGATCTCATCCCCGTCCACGTCAAATTTAACCCGAATTTCTCCATCAATCTCTCTCCTTCAACGAACCCAACCCCGCCTACTCATACCCAACTCTCTCCTCTGCCATGACAGCACCCATGCAACTGCTCAATTACTGGTAGCGAGTAGCCGCTTTCTGTCCTTTCTGCCCATGGTTGTAATGAGAAAAAGATAGTGGATTGGGGGCGGGTTCGACGGAGGAGAGAATGAGGAGGAGACGTGGATGTGGTCGACGGAGGCAAAGGTTGGAGGAGTTGAGGATTTGCCCAAATCTCCATTGCAGAAGCTATGGGGAAATAGGAGATGTTTGGTTATGAAGATGGCAACAATCTGAGATAGAATTAAAAAGGACAAGTGTCATTTTTTTTATTTGGGGTCAATAAAATTGGACACTGACTAGCCAGTGTCCAAGTATCGTCCCTTTTCGTGGGATTCACTGCTTTTTAAAGTTAGATGTAGCTTAATTTTTTGCTAACCTAGGAAAGGAAGTTACTAGCCCAAGTAATGGATCTAACCTCATTTTCGGCTTATTGGGGATAAAATTTCTTACTAGGACTCCTAATGTAGTAGCTTCATAGAAGATAAAAGTCTCAATTGAGAATGCTCTCATCTACTAAATTAAAAAAATACTAATATCGGTGTTGTTTAGAAGTGCGACTTTGATCCGTCTCTTTCTTAAGACAGAAGAATTGTCGCTGATGTTTATGTTTATCTGTTGGAATTATTGCTGCTTGTTTGAAGGGTTTACCCGGCACCTAGCAAGCACGACTCAAACCAAGGAGACTTTGGATGTTGGCAGTCAAATCAGTTTCGTCAAAGAATAATCTGTTGGAATCTGGATCCTCGCCGGATACTTTTTGTGAGGATTCCAAGGATTCGTCAATTTTGTCCGTTTATCGTATATCATACGATTAAAAATTATTTTAAATATTTTTATTTAAAATTAAACACAAACAATATTTGACAAAAACTGACTGCATGTACGATAAATGGACACAATTCACAAATCATCACGATCCTCACTAAAAGAATCCGAAAAGGATCTTGTTGGAATATGTTGGAGTTTTATGCCTCAATTATCCCACATCAAGGAACACAAGAACACAAGGTCCCCAATAGGTGTAATTTTAATTAGCATATTTACTGATTTTAGTTTTGGATTAAGTTTGTAATTAATATTAAAAACATTTTGATTAGGAGACATAACTGTTGGAAAGAGTTCTGTATTATTAGATACATCCAAGAGGTATTTGTAAGTGTATGAAATAGCCTATATAACTGAAGTCTCATTTCAACGTATTTGATTCAGTTCAAGAAAGACCATGTTTTATCACAGATGACAGCAGAATTTAGTTATCGACCTTCGAATTTAGTTATTGTCACGTCGTTGATAGAACACGATCCTTTGAGGCCAAAGAGCACCAACAATTATGCCCATAGACCAATAGCAACAGTGCAATAACTATATTTCTATTTGTGCCCTCTATAGGCGTAGCCTTTGATCAAAGAGCACAATATGGTATGTTGTGCCGAAAAGTGTTAGCACAAATAAAGGTCCTTTTGTGCCTGACAAAGTTGTCACCTACAAATTGAGATTGAGGCTAAACAAAAAATTATTTTTTCATAAAATTAAAACAGCCCACAACCACAAGCATCTATAATATTACAATTTACAAAGATATTCACAACCATTATATATAAAAACAACTAGAATTTTACATGTTCTATCCCCAACTCATGATTCGATCATTTCACCCCACACACTAAACTTCTCGAAGTGAAAATAGTGAGCAGAATTTGTTGTCCTGACCGATGTACATGTGCAACAACATACCTGCAGAATAAAAGGTATACACTAGAGTCTATTACCGCTGATGTTTATGTTTTTCTGTTGGAATTATTGCTGCTTGTTTGAAGAGTTTACCCGGCACCTAGCAAGCACGACTCAAACCAAGGAGACTTTGGATGTTGACAGTCAAATCAGTTTCGTCAAAGAATAATCTGTTGGAATCCGGATCCTCGCTAGATACTTTTTGTGAGGATCCTAAGGATTCGTTAATTTTGTCCGTACATCGTACGATTATAAATTATTTTAAATATTTTTATTTAAAATTAAATACAAACAGTATTTGACAAAAACTGACCACACGATGTACGATAAATGAATACAATTTACGAATCATCAGGATCCTCTCTAAAAGAATCCGAAGAGGATCCTGTTGGAATCTGTTGGAATTTTAAGCCTCAATTATCCCACATCGAGGAACACAAGGTCTCCAATAGGTGTAATTTTAATAAGTATATTAACTGATTTTAGTTTTGGATTAAGTTTTTAATTAATATTAAAAACGTTTTGATTAGGCGACATAACTGTTGGAAAGAGTTCTATATTATTAGATACATCCAAGAGGTATTTGAAAGTGTATGAAATAGCCTATATAACTGAAGTCTCATTTCAATATATATGATTCAGTTTCCGAAAGACCATGCTTTATCACAGATGACATCATAATTTAGTTATCGACCTTCGAATTTAGTTATTGTCACGTCGTTGATAGAACACGATCCTTCAGAAACTGACGGAACAACAGCATCGCCGCATGAATTTTTTCTCAAGGAAAATGCAGGCTGCTGAGGAGATGGAGCAGATGCTTCGCCGCTCAACATAAAAACAACAGCTGACATGGATGGTCTGTTCTTCGACTCTTCTTCGACACACAAGAGCCCGACTTGTATGCATCTCATGGCTTCGTCGGGCGCGTATGACTCCAATGATGAATCCACAATTTCTAAGGCTCTGTCTTCACTCCACAACTGCCAAACCTGTAGTTGACAGTTCATTTTAAACATGTATGAGATGAGTAAATAAAAAGGGTTGGTTGTTTGCACAATTTGTGTTACTCACATGTCCTATTAAGTTTACGAAATGATCCGCTTGATAGAAACCGTTGTTTTTCTTGCCACTTACAATCTCCAATAATATGACCCCAAAACTAAAAACGTCCGATTTGGTTGAAAATCTCCCGAACACTGCATACTCCGGTGACATATAGCCACTGTATTATACATATAAAGAAAATAAAACGTTACATCCAAAGAATAGTAAGAGATGAAAGAGCTAATGGAAGGTGAGTTTATAACGATTCTTACTATGTTCCGACAACTCTGTTGGTCGTATCTTGGAGTTGGTCCCCATGGAAGATTCTTGCCATGCCAAAATCTGATATTTTTGGGTTCATCTCAGCGTCTAGAAGGACATTGCTGGTTTTTAGATCCCTGTGAATAATCCTAAGTCTTGAGTCTTGGTGAAGATACAAAACCCCACGAGCAACCCCATTGATGATTTCGAATCGCTTTTGCCAATCCAGCAAGGACTTTTTTGTGTGATCTGCATCAAGATATTTGGCTTTAATTGTGCAGATAAATGTGACATATTCGACTAAGATATGCTTCATAGTTTGAGAAATGGCGTGAACAAATGAATCTTTCCTCTATAGACATACCGAAAAGAAAGTAGTCCAAGCTTTTGTTCGGCAAGTATTCCAGGACTAACATCCTTTCTTCTCCCTTTATGCAACAGCCTAAAAGTTTCACGAGATTCCTGTGTTGAAGTCTCGCTATCAGCGCAACTTCATTTTTGAATTCTTCAACTCCTTGTCCTGAAGCTCTGGATAATCTTTTTACAGCAATATTCTGATTATTTCGTAACACACCCTGAAGTTTTTACTCAATTTTATCATTAAGCTTCCACATAATCATCACTTATTTTATCAAGCCATTATGTTGTGATTATTCTTTAATAATGAAATTTGTAACTTTTCGAAAGTGGGACTAACCTTATAAACAGTGCCAAAACCACCTTGGCCAAGTTTTTGGACGGGAGAGAAGTTGTTCGTAGCTGCAATTATCGTTCTCAGATGGAAAAACTGCAATTCGGGATGTCTCCTAGTTTCTTCAATCTCAACTGCTAACAATAAAAGAAATCATTGTCTGCATTTTCTTCTCACTGTTCTATTTTCATTGACAAACGATATAGAAATATAAGTTTTACATCGAGCTCGCGCATATGGATTCTATCTAATTGCAGTGCTTTTATATGATTTACAAACTGCACAAGCATTACAAGTGGAGTGCTTTTATTTGATGAAACTGTTCGAGAATTCAAAATCGCTGACTACTTCTTACCTTTTGTCTTCCTCTTTTTCCTAATCCTCCAACAGGCCAACGCAACGATCAGTACCAATGCTAGAAGAACAGACAACATCAGAATAGCCAGCATGCCCCTCCTTTTAAGAAAACCTTTCGAATTTCTGAAATTTTCAGCTACACATAAGAGTGGGATAAAGGATTAAAAACTAACAAAACCAGTAGTACAGTAAGTTCCGCAAATTCCAAAAATTTATATTGCAACTTTTCCATGGCAAGAAGTGGTACCTAATTCGATTTTGTCCACTCGTACATGCAGATCTCGCCCTGCCTGTGTGTACACTAAAATGTCCCGCAACTTACCATACCATGTCAAGCAATCACTGCGCCCTTCAGATTCTATGATCATATATGCAGTGCAAGAACAATCGCTTAAGCACACCTGCTTACACTCTTTGACACTAATACCTTTTTCCAGCCGTGCTGCTTTCGTTGTGTCTGGATCTTTAACTCGTGCCACTTTCATGAAACCTTCTCCGTTCCTACACTTTGATACTGCAACTCGTTTACTCACACACCCGTCCGAACCGTCTCTCATCTTCCAATCATTGACAGACTTCGGTTCATACCCTGGCAGACACTCACACTCAAACGAATTGATATTATCAGGACTACATTTGCTGTTGGCACCGCACTCTTCATACTGGTCACACTGATATTTTGGCGCAGACCATAGTTCCTTCCATTCTCTATCTGCCTTGTTCCACCTGAGGATTTGCAGCAACCCAGAATCCTTCAACACCGCCCTTGTTGGAGTGCTATCGTTTTTAACAAAGGAATACGTTTCGCCCTGATTATTGACAATAGTACGCGTGTTCGCTGGATCAGATCGCCAATGCGGAGTCAAACCTTTATAAAAAGTAAAAAATTCGGGGGTGGCTGTCTGATTGGAATAGAGCCTAGTGGTGTATTCCCCAGTTCCAGGGTCATCTTGTGACTTCCAAGATGTTAAGACCCATTCTATCCCCAATTTCCAATTCACGCCTAGTTTCATACCCGGAAGGAGAGTATCTGTAGGATAATCAAAACTCTGCCACATAAAATTTTTGCTTTTATTATCCCGGAAAAGAACTAAATTTCCAGAATCTAAAAGCTGAGCCCTGCAACTAGTGCTCGTAGTTTGAACCGTCACATTTGTAGACCACACAGGAATGTTCTGCATATTGTTAGAATAAAAAAGCAGTCTCCCATACCCGTCTATAGTAAGGACACCGGAGGTATGATTGATGGGGTCGTTTCTGTTTGCTACCCAAACCACTACCTTTTGACCTTTTTGATCGTTTTGAACATACCAAATTCCGACGTACCTGGAGCTGGAGTTTCTGGGGCTGAAGAACCCTAATGCGAAGATGTTTCCTTTGGACACCAGAAGATCACCATCCTTTACATGTTGGTCCATTTCTATGGTGTCAATGGATGTGCAAAATGGGAAGAGGAGGGACACAACAAGCAAAGCTTTCAGTAACATTTTCTTGGCAGATGCATCAAACCCTTGGCACAATCACAGCAACAGCGAGGGCAATAGAGAATTAGACGATCAGAGGCCCAAGCCATCGGACTACCAAAGAATCCTACCCTCCCTTATCTCAAAACGAACTTGACCGCACTTGTTTTTCTGTGTACATTAATGAAAGTGTTGACAGCTCAACTGCTTCTTTGAATTTTACCCAATATGTGCTACTTTTCGTCAATCGGTATTTGGAAGACGAAAACCACATTTCTAGTCAGCATTCTGGGATCCACTCAAGTCTTGTTGAATTGTCTAGGATTATGTGACACGTCCCGATTCTTATATCCTTATATATTAAGATAGGTATATGCTAATCGACATCTGAGGGTGATGAATAATATTTAGCTACTTAAAGATAAGTAGGAACTCCTATTCAAAATTATTAATGTTTTAATCACGAAGATTTGTGCTTATAATCAGAATCGTTCATACTATGAATCACACTGTAAAATCATCTTTATAAAAAATAAATTAAAACTAAAATTCTTTAGTCAATCTATTGTAGCAAATACATATATGGTTCATAATGAGGTGGAGACGGGATGGGGTCGACGGAACGGGTCGGTCGACGGAGGCAAAGGTTGGAGGAGTTGAGGATTTGCCCAAATCTCCATTGCAGAAGCTATGGGGAAATAGGAGATGTTTGGTTATGAAGATGGCAACAATCTGAGATAGAATTAAAAAGGACAAGTGTCATTTTTTTTATTTGGGGTCAATAAAATTGGACACTGACTAGCCAGTGTCCAAGTATCGTCCTTTTTCGTGGGATTCACTGCTTTTTAAAGTTAGATGTAGCTTAATTTTTTGCTACCTAGGAAAGGAAGTTACTAACCCAAATAGTGGATCTAACCTCATTTTCGGCTTATTGGGGATAAAATTTCTTACTAGGACTCCAAATGTAGTAGCTTCATGGAAGATAAAGCCCCAATTGAGAATGCTCTAACTAAATTAAAAATAATATCGGTGTTGTTAGAAGTGCGATTTAGATCCGTCTCTTTCTTAAGACAGAAGAATTGTCGCTGATGTTTATGTTTATCTGTTGGAATTATTGCTGCTTGTTTGAAGGGTTTACCCGGCACCTAGCAAGCACGACTCAAACCAAGGAGACTTTGGATGTTGGCAGTCAAATCAGTTTCGTCAAAGAATAATCTGTTGGAATCCGGATCCTCGCCGGATACTTTTTGTGAGGATCTCGAGGATTCGTCAATTTTGTCCGTTTATCGTACATCGTACGATTAGAAATTATTTTAAATATTTTTATTTAAAATTAAACACAAACAATATTTGACAAAAACTAACTGCATGTACGATAAATGGACACAATTCACAAATCATCAGGATCCTCACTAAAAGAATCCGAAAATGATCTTGTTGGAATCTGTTGGAGTTTTATGCCTCAATTATCCCACATCAGGGAACACAAGAACACAAGGTCTCCAATAGGTGTAATTTTAATTAGCATATTAACTGATTTTAGTTTTGGATTAAGTTTTTAATTAATATTCAAAACGTTTTGATTAGGAGACATAACTGTTGGAAAGAGTTCTGTATTATTAGATACATCCAAGAGGTATTTGAAAATGTATGAAATAGCCTATATATCTGAAGTCTCATTTCAACGTATATGATTCAGTTCCCGAAAGACCATGTTTTATCACAGATGACATCAGAATTTAGTTATCGACCTTCGAATTTAGTTATTGTCACATCGTTGATAGAACACGATCCTTCGGAAACTGACGGAACAACAGCATCGCCGCATGAATTTTTTCTCAAGGCAAATGCAGGCTGCTGAGGAGATGGAGCAGATGCTTCGCCGCTCAACATAAAAACAACAGCTGACATGGATGGTCTGTTCTTCGACTCTTCTTCGACACACAAGAGCCCGACCTGAATGCATCTCATGGCTTCGTCGGGCGCGTATGACTCCAATGACGAATCCACAATTTCTAAGGCTCTGTCTTCACTCCACAACTGCCAAACCTGTAGTTTACAGTTCATTTCAAACATGTATGGGATGAGTAAATAAAAAGGGTTGGTTGTTTGCAAAATTTGTGTTACTCACATGTCCTATTAAGTTTACGAAATGATCCGCTTGATAGAAACCGTTGTTTTTCTTGCCACTTACAATCTCCAATAATATGACCCCAAAACTAAAAATGTCCGATTTGGTTGAAAATCTCCCAAATACTGCATACTCCAGTGACATATAGCCACTGTATTATGCATATAAAGAAAATAAAACATTACAGCCAAAGAATAGTAAGAGATGAAAGAGCTAATGGAAGGTGAGTTTATAACGATTCTTACTATGTTCCGACAACTTTGTTGGTCGTATCCTGGAGTTGGTCCCCATGGAAGATTCTTGCCATGCCGAAATCTGATATTTTTGGGTTCATCTCAGCGTCTAGAAGGACATTGCTGGTTTTTAGATCCCTGTGAATAATCCTAAGTCTTGAATCCTGGTGAAGATACAAAACCCCACGAGCAACCCCATTGATGATTTCGAATCGCTTTTGCCAATCCAGCAAGGACTTTTTCGTGTGATCTGCATCAAGATATTTGGCTTTAATTGTGCAGATAAATGTGACATATTCGACTAAGATATGCTTCTTGGTTTGAGAAATGGCGTGAACAAAGGAATCTTTCCTCTATAGACATACCGAAAAGAAAGTAGTCCAAGCTTTTGTTCGGCAAGTATTCCAGGACTAACATCCTTTCTTCTCCCTTTATGCAACAGCCTAAAAGTTTCACAAGATTCCTGTGTTGAAATCTCGCTATCAGCGCAACTTCATTTTTGAATTCTTCAACTCCTTGTCCTGAAGTTCTGGATAATCTTTTTACAGCAATATTCTGATTATTTCGTAACACCCTGAAGTTTTTATTCAGTTTTATCATTAAGCTTCCACATAATCATCGCTTATTTTATCAAGCCATTATGTTGTGATTATTCTTTAGTAATGAAATTTGTAACTCTTCGAAAGTGGGACTAACCTTATAAACAGTGCCAAAACCACCTTGGCCAAGTTTTTGGACTGGAGAGAAGTTGTTTGTAGCTGCAATTATCGTTCTCAGATGGAAAAATTGCCATTCGGGATGTCTCCTAGTTTCTTCGATCTCAACTGTTAACAATAAAAGAAATCACTGTCTGCATTTTCTTCTCACTGTTCTATTTTCATTGACAAACGATATAGAAATATAAGTTTTACATCGAGCTCACGCATATGGATTCCATCTAATTGCAGTGCTTCGATGTGATTTACAAACTGCACAAGCATTACAAATGGAGTGTTTTTATTTGATGAAACCGTTCGAGAATTCAAAATCGCTGAGTACTTCTTACCTTTTGTCTTCCTCTGTTTCCTAATCCTCCAACAGGTCAACGCAACCATCAGTACCAATGCTAGAAGAACAGACAACATCAGAACAGCCAGCATACCCCTCCTTCTAAGAAAACCTTTCGAGTTTCTGGAATTTTCAGCTACACATAAGAGTGGGATAAAGGATTAAAAAATAACAAAACCAATAGTACAGCAAGTTCCACAAATTCCAAAAATTTATAATGCAACTTTTCCATGGCAAGAAGTGGTACCTAATTCGATTTTGTCCACACGTACATGTAGATCTCGCCCTCCCTGTGTGTGCACTAAAATGTCCAGCAACTCTCACCATACCATGTCAAGCAATCACTGGGCCCTTCAGATTCTATGACCATATATGCAGTGCAAGAACAATTGCTTAAGCACACCTGCTTACACTCTTTGACACTAATACCTTTTTCCAGCCGTGCTGCTTTCGTTGTGTCTGGATCTTTAACTTGTGCCACTTTCATGAACCCTTCTCCGTTCCTACACTTTGATACCGCAACTCGTTTACTCACACACCCGTCCGAACCATTTCTCATCTCTTCCAATCATTGACAGACTTCGGTTCATACCCTGGCAGACACTCACACCCAAAAAAATTGAAATTGTCAGGGCTACATTTGCTGTTGGCACCGCACTCTCCATACAGGTCACACCGATATTTTGGCGCAGACCATAGTTCCTTCCATTCTCTATTCGCATTGCTCCACTCGAGGATTTGCAGTGACCCAGAATCCTTCAACACCGACCTTATTGAAGTGCTATCGTTTTTAAAAAAGAAATACATTTCGTCCTGATTACTGACAAAATTACGCGGGTCCACTGTACCAGCTCGCCAATACGGAGTCAAACCTTTATAAAAAGTAAAAAACTGGGGGGTGGCGGTCTGATTGGAATAGAGCCTTTCGGTGTATTCCCCAGTTCCAGGGTCATCCTGTGACTTCCAAGATGTTAAGACCCATTCTATCCCCAAATTCCAATTCACGCCTAGTTTCATACCCGGAAGTTGAGTATCTGTAGGATAATCAAAACTCTGCCACATAAAGTTTTTGCTTTTATTATCCCGGAAAATAACTAAATTTCCAGAATCTAAAAGCTGAGCCCTGCAACTAGTGCTCGCAGTTTGAACCGTCACATTTGTAGACCACACAGGAATGTTCTGCATATTGTTAGAATAAAGAAGCAGTCTCCCATACCTGTCTATAGTTAGGACACCGGAGGTATCGTTGATGGGGTCGTTTCTGTTTGCTACCCAAACCACTGCCTTTCGATCTTTTTGAGCATACCAAATTCCGACGTACCTGGAGCTGGAGTTTCTGGGGCTGAAGAACCCTAATGCGAAGATGTTTTCTTTGGACACCAGAAGATCACCATCCTTTACATGTTGGTCCATTTCTATGGTGTCAATGGAAGTGCAAAATGGGAAGAGGAGGGACACAACAAGCAAAGCTTTCAGTAACATTTTCTTGGCAGATGCATGTATCAAACCCTTGGCACAATCACAGCAACTGCGAGGGCAATAGAGAATTAGACGATCAGAGGCCCAAGCCATCGGACTACCAAAGATGGTGATGGCGTCTTCCTCGCAGATGGTTGTGCAGCTGCGGGTGTGTGTATGTGTGTGTGTGTCTCGGTGAAAGAGGGAGAGAAGAAAGAAGGGAGAGAAAGCAGAGACAGAAAGAATAAGGAGAAGAAGTCACGGGGTAAGGGGCAAAAAGAGAGAAAAGTGAGGGGTGTTGGGGTGTTGGGGTGCTGCCACGTGGCAGTTTGAGGATGACAAGAATCAAATTATTTAGATCCTGATTGGGTAATAAAATTAGGACTAAAATGATAGATTTAATAAATTTTTGGGGAGAATTACATAATTATTTTTATAAGTGGGGGTAAGAACATGTTCAATATATGAGCTCAATATTTACAGTCTTCTTACCGGTAAGAACACGTGCATTATCTAACCCCTTCGGAACACGCTTCAAATAGCCTGCATCATTAACAACTAACGAGCTTCAAATGCAGTTATTGTTAAGTCGTTATAGAACCTGACCCTTTTTGAATTAATAGATCCGCATCATCATCGCATGAACTTTTTCTGAAGACAAATGCAGGCTGTTTAGGAGATGGAGGAGATTTTACACCACACTCGACAAAAAAAGGCTGACATGGTTGGTCGGTCCTTCAAATCTTCTTCCACGCATAAAAAGCCAACTTGAATGCGTTGCATTACTTATCCTTCTGAATGGACTCTACCGATTAATCCACAATTTTTAACGCTCTGTCTTCTCTCCAGAGCTACCAGACCTGCACACTACAAAAGATATGGGCACTGCACATAATAAATTATATGTACCCTTTGAGGCCAAAGAGCACCAACAATTATGCCCAAAGACCAATAGCAACAGTGCAGCAACTATATTTCTCTCTATAGGCGTTGCCTTTGATCAACGAGCACAATAAAGTATGTTGTGCTGAAAAGTGTACGCACAAATAAAGGTCTTTTTGTGCTCAGTTCTAACAAAGTTGTCATCTAAAGTTGTTGGATGACGGCTGCCACCCACGTTAGCACATTTATTGTTATGGTGCCCAATATGCCAACTATTTTTATAAAAAAAAATTAAAAACTGAAATCACCTACAAATTGAGATTTGAGGCTAAACAAAAAATTATTTTTTCATAAAATTAAAACAGCCCACAACCACAAACATCTATAATATTACAATTTAAAAAGACATTCACAACCATTATATATAAAAACAACTAGAATTTTACATGTTCTATCCCCAACTCATGATTCGATCAATTCACCCCACACACTAAACTTCTCGAAGTGAAAATAGCGTGCAGAATTTGTTGTCCTGACCGATGTACATGTGCAACAACATACCTGCAGAATAAAAGGTATACACTAGAGACTATTACCAACTTAGTTATGATCATATTAACAAAACAAACGGTACATTAGCGTTTTCTTCAATTCACATATCCATGAAACCATACCCCTCTGTATTCCCGAATCCTCAAAAATCTGATCTGAGAATATGAGAGGTTGATTGAACTAAAACCTGAACTACCCATCTCTCTACCACCATAACCCATAAGCCAAATTACATTGCAAAAACAAATGATGCATGAAATCCCTTTCGTTTTAGTTACTAACATACTTCAGCAGAGAGAAAAACAGAAGCAGATACAATTAATTCATTGTGTGTGAAATAAATAAAAGTAATAAAAACATTTCGGGTAAGGCTTAGCCAATTTTATGAAAATTGGAAAAGTGCCAACGAGCTAACATTCAAAATCGTTACTGTTTGTTACCAATCAGTAAGTATGAGTTCATTCCAATGCTTATGCTTTTAACTTTTCAAGGAAGGCCCACTTGATGTATTAGACAATAGTGACGGAGTCAAAGGCCAGCAGCAAATGTGTGATCAGATATTCAGTAGTTTTAACTCTCGGGGAAAGTACCTGTACAAAATATAGGCCAGAATGATGGACCTTTCAGATTCCCTAGAGAACCTTTCGAGGATCGAGTTGCCCACTGCAGTAACTGGAAGGAACAGCTGAAAGCTCCAGCCTTCCTCTCCACTCCTCTCCAGGTTTCAATGTTAAATAGCAGCAGCCTCCACACACAGCATATGCTTGTATTCATCATGTCCAAAATCAGTCAAAGCCTTCGCCTTCTTATCCCAGGGATTCCATACAACTGAATGGGAAAACAGAAAACTAATCACTACAGTACAAAATACAATTCAAATGAACACTATGAGGGCAGGTATTTGACATTATAATTCTTCAATATCAACTTGTAAATTAATCAAATCGGAGAATAATATTTTAAAAGCACAAAGAAAGAACAAGAGTTCTCTCCACTAATCCTAGTTATCTCATGAGTCATACGATACAGCAATTCAATCCGTTGTGTTGTTAGTTATGTTAAGCCTAAATGCAACAAATTAAGAATGAATAGCAACTTAAGCTTACCTCTGACTCAAATGTTAAAGCATCGCCTTGTTCAGTGCAACGTTTCCTGTTCTGCGTGTTGTCAAGATAATCCAATGTTTCCAATCCTTCTACACGAATTTCGCTGAACACAAGCACAACGAAAAATTCAAAATTTCAATACCATCCAGAACTGTCGCTTTCTCTCAACTGTATGTTACATGATATGGCATTAAAATTAAGGACAAGCACAATGATGCTGTAATCCCTGCTGGTATAATAATGACTGATGCAAAAGGCAGAGACAAAGGTTTTACATTTCCAACTGTCATCTTGCACAAATTCGCAAATGCTAAGATCTGATTAACGTTGAATTTTTAAGTGATCCTCCATTGAAGGATCTACCAATTATCTTATCATTTTAACATTTCGGATTAAGATTTATTGTCATCAATTAAAAGTGATTTAGCTTTACCCATGTTATGAGCTTGGTGGATTTTTGTCAGTGGCGTTTACTTTATCTTCGAAGTTTTTTTCGCATGGATGCGACCTAGTACCTAACTTTAAGTAATTAACAATTTCCAACCCCTACAAAATTGATACCCACACTGTGCTAGTATGCTTACGTACGAGAGAAACGATCGGCTTCATCACCAGCTCGGACCTCATCACCCATCGACGCCACTGCTACTCCTCTCTTCGCCGTCCCGTACGCCGCTCTCATACCTGCAAAACACACAAAACCCGAACAAAATCATATGTTTCTTAGATCTGAAATTGAAGAAATTTGGCTATGAATTTGTAGAAACTAACTTGAGGATTGGAAAGAGGATTATGGAGGTATAATTTGACGGTCTTTGGTGACAAGTGGAAGGCGGCGCTGTTGCCTTAAAGAGAAGGAGGAGAGAAAGGATACGGGAAGGAGAGTGAAGAGGAAGGAGGAGAGGATGAAGGGGAGAGAGAGAAGACTAATAACCTTTTTTTCATCTTCAAGTTTTTTATTTTATTTTTTATTGTTATTTTGCACAAAAGCCACAATACTTTTAAAAAAAAAAACTAAAAAAAATTGTTTGAAAACTTTGAGTTTTAAACATAAGGATAAAATAAAAGGTAAAGTGAATAGTATCAAGATTGACTTTTTAGTGTAAAAATATAATTTTTCGTTTAAGTTTCCTATTTTTTATACATGCCATTTGAAATCTAAAAAGTATATAGTGCAAATAATTCAAAATGTACATTTGATTTAAATATATACCAAATGTTAGGGCAAAAAATTTAATACTAAACATTTGGGCCAAAAAAAAAACTTTTATTTAAATATATGTAATCATAGGACACAAAACTACATACGTTAGCATGAGGTTAGAGTTGTGCAACCCATGATTTGTTACACTTGGGTGTGTAGCTCTTGGCAGACTGTCCTCACTTAAAATCACTTCTGAAATTTGGAGTGGGAGATTCATGGTGTCCTCAGTTAAAATCACTTTTGAAACTTAGGGTGAGTGATTCATGGTGCTTTTCAATTGAACCAACATTTGACTTCGGGTTTGTTGGCTTGTCATTGAACAATTGATTGGAGAAAATATTTTGGGCCTCATTAATTCTAGAAAAAATTGCAGAGGTAAGTTTGGAGATAGAAGAGAGGTTTGTAACAATGTTAACCTTTGAGAAACATACATGTTAGTGGTAGCCCTTGTAAAGGCACAAAGTCATTTTGTGTCACACATAATATATTTAATTAATAAAAGTTTCATTATTATAAATATGGACACATGCAATTGTGCTTATAAATCCTATTTATAGCACAAAAAGTCTTTCGTGCCTGTTCATGTGCCCAATGTGTTTGTGTCCATTTTCTTTTGCATTGGGCACAATATATGGTGCCCTTTATTGAATGTGCATTTTTCCACTTTATTCTTGTTCGAAGACACACAAACTCCTCATTTGTGTCCTTAATTTTGTACCTAAAGCCCATTTTTCTTGTAGTGGCAGTTTAACAGTATCATTTTAAAGAGGGGATGGATAAGTAGAAAGAGTGGATTTTTAGCAGAACTTGTGTTACTTACATGTCCTATCAAGTTTATGGAATGATCATCCTGATAAACACCGTTGTTTTTCTTGCCACTTACAATCTCAAATAATATGATCCCCAAACTAAAGACATCTGATTTCGTTGAAAATCTCCCAAACATTGCGTACTCTGTGACATATCCACTGCATATGAACAAAAGAAAATTTTAAAGCTCAAAAATAGTATAGGGATGTGAAAAGTGAATATATGGTGATTTATTTCATCAATGTGCGAGTGCTAGTATGTTTCTTACTATGTTCCAACATCTCTGTTGGTCTTATTATGCTGCAGTTGATCCCCATTGAAAATTCTCCATAAAGAAATCTGAAATTTTTTGGTTCATCTCAGCATCTAGAATAACATTGCTGGTTTTAGATCCCTGATCCCTATGAATAATTTTAAGTCTTGAGTCCTAATGAAGATACAAAATTCCACAAGCAACCCCGTTGATGATTCCAAAGCGTTTTTTCCAATCCAACAAGGACCTTTTTCTGTGATCAGCATCGACAGGTTTGGTTTTTGTGTAATCATATGGAGTATATTTTAACATAAAACATCAAATATATGCTTCATACTTATAGACATATCAAAAAGAAATGAGTCCAAGCTCTTGTTCGGCAAGTGTTCGAGGACACACTTTCTTCCCCCGTTATACAACTGCCTACAATTTTGGTTCATATCCCGGTAGGCATTCACACGCAAACATGTTAATATTATCACGGCTACATCTGCTGTTACCCATTTGAAGGGTAATCTTCTGATTTCCAAGATGTTAAGATCCATTCCAACCTATTTTCCAATTCAATCCAACTTTCATTCCTGGAAGTAAAGTGTCAGCTGGAGAAATTTTTTATTATGACGGGAACATGGGTGGTACGTGTTTTTATGTAAATGGTGGAAAATTTTATTTTTTAAGTTATTAACTTTTTAACACATATATTTCTTCATTTGTATAGTGACATATGGTATACTACCTCGTGTGCCGATTACACAGAAAAATCTCTCCAAAAGCTGAGCCACAGAAGTGCTTCTGGTTTGAACGGACACGTGCGCAGACCAAATAGAAATGTCCTGAAGAGCACAAAGAACTAAAGAAACCGGACTGTCTTTATTTTTCCCAATACAAGCTATATTGAGGAAGAGGAAATTGAACTCGAAATTTCAAGTGCATGGATGGATGTTCTCGATCAATGGAGCTATAAACCTCTTGCATTTGGCTGACTTTTCAAAGTGGATACTAGTCTTCTATACTGCATAATTACAAGAGGTTTTTCAGTATGCTCGAAACATGGAGCAGAACACCGAATGTCATAATACAATTAAAGAGACATTGAAAGAAGAGGAAAACAAAAAACAAAAACAAACAAAAAAAACCATCCTCAAGGCTTTGTGATACACAACCAATTTTATATACTAAATTCTCCCAATTTTACTCCATTGAAATTATGAATTGAATTCAAATAAAGTCTTACTCAGATGATTAAAATTGTATTGTTGCTGAATTAATTAAAGGAATTTTAACGAAAAATCACATTTTTACACTAAAAAGTCAATCCTGGTACTATTCACTTTACCTTTTATTTTGTCCTTATCGTTAAAACTTAAAGATTTCAAACTCTTTTTATTAGTTTTCCTTCAATTAAATCCTAATTTGATGTAAACCCTCGGACTTTAGACTAATATATGGACTTCAAACTTCAAACTTGATGGACTATGTTGTCATCTTGTGCAAAATGTATATGTAAAGATGCCTGAACAAGTTAAAAGCTCAACAATTTTGACTACTATTCCATCTAAAACTCAAGAAATATTACATGGTCTTCAAAAAATTGCAAAAGTTCATTGTATTCTACAGAGAAACATGGGTACGTCAATTACCCAAGATAATTAAATGTGTCTACTCAGTTACATTCAAGTTCAAATTTACTTCATCGAATGCTACAACGATTGAGAATATCATATTATAAAACAAAATAGGGCATTCTTAAGAAGTTATTTTTGCATACGTATCAAATTGAAATTTGGACGAACCTCGGCGCATCGAAAATGTTGCTCCTTTATGGCCGGAAGGTTGCGGATTCAAGTCGTGGAAATAGTCTCTTTACAAAGCTAAAACAAAGTTACGTGCAATAGATATTCTCCCTGACTCTTTGCCCTTTTTTATCAAGTTGTAATTTCAAAGTAAATACGAAACTTACAAAAAATGAGCCAAGAGTGTTGATTTATAATATAACAACAACAACAACAAAGCCTTTTCCCACTAAGTGGGGTCGGCTATATGAATCCTAGAATTCCATTGCGCTCGGTTTTGTATCATGTCCTCCGTTAGATCCAAGTACTCTAAGTCTTTTCTTAGAGTCTCTTCCAAAGTTTTCCTAGGTCTTCCTCTACCCCTTCGGCCCTGAACCTCTGTCCCGTAGTCACATCTTCGAACCGGAGCGTCAGTCGGCCTTCTTTGGATGCCATCCTATTCCTCTCAGCAGTGACTGAAAGCCATTAAAACAAATATTTAAGTCATAATATTTCTTTTAATATGACTGGTTGGACTTTGACAAGCCTCCGAATTATTGGGAAATGTAGACTCTGGGACACGTTTTACATGAGATTTGATTTGGATACATTGATTACATAAATACTTCTATGCATACCGCTTTCCCTCGATCTATACCATACTCTATTCTCGTCAGAGGATAGCTAACAGTCAGCCCGGTGCTACATCATAAGCACGTCGGGTACGTAGATCATTGTAACGGTATACATAGAAGTCACTGAATCGGAGATAGAAGATGGCGAAAAGGACTCGGGGGTGTGAGAAGACGGTAGCTGTGAAGAAAGGTCCATGGAGTCCTGAGGAGGATCAAAAGTTGGTAGCTTACATTCAGAGATACGGAATTTGGAATTGGAGTCAGATGCCTAAACCAGCTGGTAGGAAGCAAATTTGAAGTTTCTTTTTCTTTCTAGTCTATATTACGCGTACTTGAGCAAAAATTTCATTGATCATTTGGGTACTCAGCTCGTTTGGGATTGCTTTTGGAAGGGTACAAAGCGCTTTCAGACAATCACAAGCGTTTTAACGAATGACCTTTCTTCTTCTGCATTTGCTTTAGGTCTGGCTAGGTCCGGGAAGAGTTGTAGACTTCGTTGGGTGAATTACTTAAGGCCGGATATTAAGCGTGGGAACTTCAGCAAAGACGAAGAGGAAACCATACTCGAGTTGCATCAAGCAATAGGAAACCGGTAAGGACTTAAATCTAACCAACATGAAGGAAAACATAATGGTTACCAAACGGGCCTTAAGCATAAATTCATAGTTTAAAAAGGACTAGAAATCAATGTTATAATCAACTTCTGCAGCTTCATAATAAACTGACAAGTTTCCTAAAAGATTTTCTGTTCCTTTCTCTTTGTAGATGGTCTGCTATTGCAGCAAGACTTCCTGGAAGAACAGATAATGAGATTAAGAATCACTGGAACACCCACATGAAGAAACGCTTCGAGGCGGCAATTGAATCAGTACACGAAGAAGCAAAAGGATTCGGCGACAAAGAAGCCAGCAAGAACAAGTTATCTGAAACTGAACAACTGTTTCTTGTTGATGAAGCTACAAGGGCATCATCATCAAAGATGGAGACAACTTCTTCAACTTCAGCTTCATCAAGATTATTCTGTCCCGTTTGGGAATTCGGTGATCGAAAAGGCCAGATTGCAGAGCAAAGTATTTGTGCATCTGGTGTCACATTTGGTGACCTTCAAAGTTTGGATTCTCCGGTGTGGCAGCAAGAGCCTATATTTCCATGTGATTCCTACATTAATCATGCCACCAGCGATTACTGGGTCAGTTTAATCAATAAAACAGGATGAATTAGATTAATTAGGAGTGTCTAAACTTTGAATTAATGGGAATTGTATGCCCTTGGCATTTGGATGCTTCAGTATTATTGTAAACCGTTTTTTCTTCTGCTCTGTATATGTGCATGAATAAAAGATAAATCATCATCAAGTTCGAATCCCTCTTTCTATAGTTTAAATTAGATTAATTAGAATATTGCTTAAGAACAAGATACATTACAAACTTCAATTTGTGTTAATGTAGCCCAGCAAGCAACAGGACAAAAAAAAAGAGCAAAAAACATTAGCTTCTGCTTTCATTGAGAGTTGAACTCAAGACCTCCCGCTTACTAAACGGGTGCTCTAACCAACTGAGCTATGAAAGCATTATCAGTTAGTAGGCACGGCATTTAGATATTTGTATACAAAGTGGGCAAATATAAGTTTTAACCACTGCTTTCCTTGAAGCAGAAGATTTCACTGTATGCTAAATCCCTTAAAGATTACGAGTCAGTGACACTCTACTGTCGGATCACTTGCCCTTCAACCTTCCTCCCAGTCTATGCCATCTGCGTCCTCCTCCGCTGTAGCATCAGCTTCGACATCACCTGTGTATATAATTATGTATGAAGAACACAAGGTCTCTGATACACCATACATGTTCTTCTGATTGTTCATACTAACTGAACTAAAGGAGTAAGACAATTCAAATTAAAGATCAAGATGGAACAATATTTACCTGTAATTGGAGCCTCACCCAGTCTACATTATCTTTCTTCTTCTTCTTCTTCTGCTTCTTCTTTCTCGTTAGTTTCAGCATTAAACTTTGTGTCCTCTGAGAACTCTGGAGCTGCTGCAGTACTGCCACTGCCATCCATCTTCACCTCCATGTTTTGAAGGACGTCATTTTGAGGAGCGAGCTCGTCAATCTCAGGCAAAGTACCCCATCACACCTTTCACGGTGGAAGTACCCATCTTTCAATTTATCTTTCAGTCTCAAACAATCTATACTTGACTTGAGCACTATGAGAGATTATGCACTAGGATCACTTAGTTACAAATAAATAAGCCGCATTGTTACTATACTCATTGGACACACTTCAGAGTTCAGACCAGAAACGAGAAAGCAAAAGCCCAACGAAAAATGAAATAAAAAAAAAGATATATTTTGCTTTCATTGAGAGTTGAACTCAAGACCTCCCGCTTACTAAACGGGTGCTCTAACCAACTGAGCTATGAAAGCTTTGTTGATGCATTGCTGTTCGTTTGATATTTGTTTGTAACATTCTGGGCTGGTCAGAGCCCCCAGCACAACAACATATAGTCTTTAAAAAATGTCTGCAATCCGACGAAAACATGACCCTCCTCGTATCTGGGATTATCACTGGAATCCCACCATTCCCGAAAAAACGAACTGCATTTTTCAAAACAAAGCAAGCTATTTTACTAAAGCAAAAAGCCTGGCTTTCAAGGATTTTGCTGGTTCTCTATACCAACAGGCAACAGTTTCCATTCCTTGTGTTTTCCGACGTTTCCTGCAAATGGGACCCCGAAAGGAAGAACCTTTTTGCACATTAATGGCGGATGTGAGATGGGTTCGTGTACCCACCTCCTTTCCATTAGAGGAATCAGAAGAGAGAGAGAGAGAGAGAGAGAGATTGTGTTTGGATGCAGACGCAACTGCAGAATGTTTTCGATGTGGCAATGGCATCCAATTCTCAAAGGGTTTGAAGCAAGGCGGATTACTTTCAATGAATTGTCATTATTTATTTTCAAAAGAAAAAAAAAAAGAGGAAGCAAGGCTGTGAAAGTGTTAAATTACAGAATATAATCCTTCCTTCTTTTGTTGGAGTTCCTGCTATTATTCCTTTCTTGCGGGATTTCTCGATTTTCAATTCCTGTTTTCTTAAGGCTTGACATTAGTAATTAATTGCAGATTAGTTAATAGCCAAAGGTTATGCATTTAGGTGACAATTACCCTTAAAATCTTCCACCAGAAAAAAGGCTGATTCTGATTTTCTAACTTTACTTTGACAGCTCTACTGGGCTACCACATTGCTTCCCCAGCTTGTTTTGAGTGTTTCTTTTCTCCTGCTGGGCTGCTACTGCTAGTATTATTTAAGGCTTCAATGGAGTTAGTATCAAGCAAAGCATTTCAGTTGATTCCTAGCAATTAGCATGGCTGAGAAGTGAGGAGTATCATATCAGTAGTACTAGACCAACAGGAAACCAAGCAGACTTTCCGCTTCGAGTCCACAGAAAATCCTCCAGGTTTTTCTCTATTCTTGCTTATCTTCAATTTCGGCTCGTTGTTTGTGTTGGTTCATCGGCTGTTAATTTGGATTTTGCTGTCTTTGTTGCCAAATCGCAGTATTGTTGGGTGTAGTTAATGACAACTTGAACACATTACATATTAGGCTGATCTACCTTCTACTGCAAACACCCTGTCATGCATGTTGGTCTCTCACTGTATAATGTCGCACGTGAGGGGTTATGTCTTGGTTTCGCCTGCTCATTGATAACTTGATTATTCTTAGATAATAGTAGTCCTATCGAAACCAAGGAACTGGAACATAGGATGCCTGCTACCACACCAAAATAGCTGAAATTAATATCCATGACTGAAAATCTTATAAGCTTGTGTACGAATGCATTTCAGTTCCATTTTTCCTTGTTATAACTTATAATTGGAGGAGTTGCTAAGTGTATCCGAAACGCCCCCATGTACATATTCCTTTTCAGATCACCCCGTTTTCGGATGTGTCAAAGATTTTCTTCCTCCACTGAGATTGACCTTATTTCTTATAGTCATAGTTGATGGATTATTACGTGAGATGTAATATTTGTTTGATGAGTCAATGTCTGTATGGTAATATATGAGGTGGACAATTTCATATATTGTCCTTGTGCTTAATTAATTTTGCAGAAGCTTTGAAATTGCTCATTTTCAGTGGCTTGCAAAAAAAGGGAGCAAGTTGAAGAGAGCTAGCTGGGATATGGCTTCCTCCATCAATCCTATTCCTATCTCCTTCAGGAAGCTATGGGAAAGGTGGAATCTACGGGGCTTTATCATCTTAAGCCTAACATTGCAGACCATTTTAATTCTTTGTGCACCCTTCAGAAAGCGAACGCCCAACTTGGTTTTAATCTTCCTAGTCTGGTCATCTTACTTGCTCGCTGACTGGGCTGCTGGCTTTGCAGTCGGGTTAATCTCAAACAGCCAAGGTGACGCTAAAGGTTTGGGAGATAACGAGGAGGATCTCTTGGCATTTTGGGCTCCATTTCTTTTGTTACACCTTGGAGGTCCAGACACCATAACTGCATTTGCTCTTGAAGATAACACTCTGTGGCTAAGGCATTTTCTTGGCCTTGTATTCCAAGTTATAGCTGCAGTGTATGTCTTCATTCAATCGTTTCCCACCAACAAGCTCTGGCCCCCTACACTGCTCCTGTTTCTTGCAGGAACCATTAAGTATGCTGAGCGCACACGTGCTTTGTATCGTGCAAGCTTGGATAATTTCAAGGAATCCATGCTTAAAAAGCCTGATCCTGGACCAAATTATGCAAAGCTAATGGAGGAGTACTCCTCAAAAATTGAATCCAAACTTCCAACTTATATAGAACTCACAGCAGAACGTAGCAAAGAATCCAGGACGGTAACATATGTTGCAGAACCAGGTGATATGGAGAATAATATTGCAGTAGTGCGACATGCTTATCACTTCTATGAAATCTTCAGGGGTCTTATTGTGGATCTCATTTTTAGCTTCCATGAACGCTTCGAGAGCCGTGCATTTTTCCATGAAAGATCCGCAGAAGAAACTTTTAGATTGATTGCAATTGAGCTCAACTTTATGTATGAAGCTCTCTTCACCAAGGCGGTTGTGGTGCATTCTAAGCTAGGATGCCTTTTCCGGGCTATATCCTTCACTGCAGTTTTCATAGCCCTTGTTTTCTTCTATAAACTAGAGAAAAAGGCTTTCCACAAGGTCGATGTTGGAATCACCTATACCCTGCTTTATGGTGCCCTAGGCCTGGATTCAATAGCCATTTTCTTGGTTGTCTTCTCTGAGTGGACTGTCACTGCTATGCACAAGTCTTGGCAAAAATCTTGGGTTGCCACCAAGATACTTGGAAATTACCTCAGTTTGAAGAGACCAAGGTGGTCTACAGAGCCAACTTGCTTGGAGTGGTGTAGACAAATTCTATTTCGAAGGTGGTGCGAATCCATCTCTTCATTCAACTTCATTCACTACTCCCTCAAGGAGCATCGGAAACTGTCCCCTGACATTTTTGACTACCTTGGCATTGGTTACATTGCAATCATCAACTTCTTTGGCCTCAAGGATATTCGAGATAAGATGAAATATCGGACAAGTAGGCCACTCACTAAAGGGTTATGGGAATTCATTTTTCAAGAGTTGAAAGCTAAATCTGTGCTCGCAGATGATCCCGAAACTGCCAAGAGAATATCTATAGCCAGAGGTGATTTCAGGATACCGAGTGGAATAACGCCGAACATGCTACCTTGCTGTCTAGCATTGTTGATGTTGATTATGACCAGAGCATCCTACTGTGGCACATTGCCACTGAATTATGCTATAACACTGAGGAGGAAGAAACTGCTGACTTGGAATCCAGTAAGAATGAAACTTCTCGCCGCGAAATCAGTAAGACCCTGTCGGATTATATGTTGTACCTCTTAGTTATGCAGCCTAGTTTGACGTCTTCTGTAGCAGGAATCGGACAAATAAGATTCCGGGACACATGCGCAGAAGCGAAAAAATTCTTTAGCAGAAGGAAGCTGCCGCTGCGAAAAGGAGAGGAAAACCCAACTCTCTGCACTGTCTGCAAGAGTATCCTCGATGTAAACACAGCTGTTAAACCTGCTGATGTCAAGGGGGATAGAAGTAAATCCGTGTTGTTTGATGCATGTATTTTAGCGAAGAAGTTGAAAGAGATGAAGACAAAGAAATGGGATCTGATGAGTCAAGTATGGGTGGAATTGCTCTCGTATACCGCAGGCCATTGCAGAGCGAACGATCATGTGCAATTGCTGAGTAAAGGAGGAGAACTTGTCACTTTTGTTTGGTTACTCATGGCTCATTTCGGCATAGGGGAGCAGTTCCAGATAAACGAGGGTCATGCTAGAGCAAAACTCATTGTCGGAAAGTAAACCGGATGAATTGAATAAACCTGGTAGAATTTCGGCATGAGACATCTGTTTGTTGTTGTATCCTTGTATCGTTTGTTGCAGCTGCTAGCTAGAGTATGATTCCATAACCAATTTATATGCTTATGTCTCAAAAGTGTGTTTTATTGCGAGTCTGAATAGCTCGTTCTGTAACTAGATACTCTTACCCTTATTTTGTAAGATATCAAATAGTTAAATAAATGAGAACTCTAACTCACCGCATTTTATATCCGAACAAGCGTTGGGCCTATCAATCTCAGCCCAAAAGATCTAATAAGATTATCTGGCCAGAATAATTTGCTTGACTCGTTGCAACTGAGTTTGAAATCTCCTTTATTTAAATCTAGAATAGTTTAGAATATCGCTTAATCAAATGCATAAGAAGTCGTCGTTGTACGTTTAGTCACGTTGTTAACCAAAGAAAAAACAACATAAGAAGCCATTCTATGTTCATTCAACCCTCTTCAATTCCCCAACCACATTGATGGGGAAGTTAATATGTTTGATTTGAATATTGAGTACCAACGGTTGTATGATTGTGCCTGCTCTATTAAATTGTGTGGGATTCACATGATGACTCTCTCTGTCCTACATGTCAAGCCATATTGCTACATTCCTATGTCGCTGTTTGAGTACATACGATAAATGGGCCAATGCCAATACTCATCACCTTATTTATTATCGTTAAATAAGTTTAAATTTTGCGATTTAGAACGGTAATAAATAGAGTGGTGAGTTTCACCATCACTTGAAGAGATTTTTTAGTATGTTGAGAACACAGCTTGATTCACCAAGTGTCATAATACACTGATTAAGGCTGAGTCGATAAGAGATTTTTTAGTGGCACTAATTATATATAATTATGTGTTTATCTCTCTTATTATGTAACTAGTCCATAAAGATTAGACAACTAGGGATAGAACGGTTTTTCTCAAACTATATTTTTCTTGTGCATCTAATCGGAAGATAGCTCAGGGCAATGATTACACTCGAGGCATAGAGACAACCAAACAAATCAGCACTTTCGAATATGATGAGAAAGCTTGAACATATTTTCACTGCAGAAAGTACCATTTAATCTACGCCTTTTGCTGTGTCTCTTCTCTGCTGCCACAGAAACACAAGTATATTTGGTGGTGCTGGTGCTGGTGGCGGCGGTGCTGATGGTCTTTTCACCTTCCGATCTAGTGAGGCGCCGGTCCAGAACGCTCGCTGGGGTTCTTGTGCAGGACATAGTATCCAACCCTTCATTCTCTACCATTTCTTGCATAACATTGAAGCATTTGAGCAAACTCTCCTGAAATAAAAACATAGTTAAAAACTTAAAATACTAATTAATCGTATCATTTTTTTTAATTAAATTGGAAATCTGTAACGTTGATATTGTGCTTACTTTATTTACATTTTGGAAAGATGATAGGGAAACTTTGAAAAAAGGGAACTTCAATGGGAGCAGTTCATGGCATGCAGATAGAACAGCTGATGCTGCAATTATTGATGGCTTAAACTCTACAAATTTAATTTCTGCAATCAAATTCAAAACAAAAAAAGGGTTATGAGTTATAATTAATAATAACGCATCAGTTTGGGCTAACGATTTTCACACTTCCTTTTTTTTTAACTCACACGCGAAGTGCAGAGTCTAAAAGAGGAGCGTTAAAATCACTAGCCTTAATCTATGAAGCGGAAGTACTTGAACAATTAACAAGTAGTACCAGTATGGGCATTGAAGATGATATCCGAAGCTCGATTTTTGAGAGCTTGTGTAAATGGCCGGTCGTTTAAGTCCAGCGAAGACAAGAAGAAATGCAGAAAAGAGAAAGGAGTTATCGATCTCATCCGCCAATCCAGAGTGTTGAGAATAAGAAGCTCCATTTTATGAACCGTTTGCACATCGAAGACGAAACTTTCCCCTCTCTGTTACATATATAAGCATTTAAGCAAACCATTAGCCCTTCTGCTTCACAGTATATATCTTTCTTAGTTTTTTTGAAAAAGTGATACTGTAAACTATTTTAGCTCTACGAGAAGGGGGATTTGAACTTAGGTGCAAGAGAGCGGACACGCTGCAATGTGAAGGGCTATTAAGTTACCTGAAAATCAGAGGAGGAGAAGGGTATGTTCTTCATCTTTGCAGCTAGAGATAGACAAGATACTTTCACGAGTCTTGAGACCCAAGGCTTTCCTTGCTGCAATTTGAATGATGAATTATAAGCTAAGTAAGGACTTAAAATGTGACATTATCTTGGAATTTAAGAAACTAAACTTCTTTATTACCGGAATATCCCGCTTCGATATGAACCGATCCAGGTAGTTGATGGCAAGGTAAGGTATGAAGGGGTCAAGGTTGCAAGAATACTGAACCTGATAAAAATTGTCACAAGCTCAGACCAATCTTAAGAAGTAGATTACTAGTAGAAACACAAAGCCATCCTGAACTCCAAAAAAGTCATTATCCGCTCCCTTAACAAACGATAAATTATAAATAGGGAATTGCGGATTTTTTTTTTTTTTTTGGAGTGTCAATAACATCTTGTTTCTTTACCTGCGAAAACAGAGAAATGGCTTCGAGGCGAAAAGTATAGTAGAAACCAGTGTGTTTTGAGCTGCTTAGGAAGTTTTGGGAGGGCATGTGGTCAGTTTCTGAGGTAAAGAGATCTGGGATTGCATCGGAGTTGTGTTCTTGAAGATCAAACTCATAATCCATTTCTGTTTTTTGATTGATTTGGTTTTGAACTAGTGAAGAAGTTGTTTGTGTTTGTAGGTTGTGAGGAGTGAATGAGGAGGTCAAGGAGAGGACGTTGGAGCAGAAATTCGAAGAGAGTAATAATGATGATGGAAAGGAGAAGCTTCGCATTCTGTGCTGATAAAGAAGCTGCTTTGCTGTGCCTCTGTGTGGTTAATTAAGTCTTCACCTTCCTGCTCTCTCTCTCTCTCTCTCTCTCTCTCTCTCTCTCTGTGCAGCTCCATTAATTTATATGCATGTTGGTCCCTCTTACTCGTTCTCTTCACATTGGAAAAGTATTACGAAGAAAAGAATTGTCACATGTCAGAAAGTTAAGAAATTACATGTGCGTGAAGTTGATAGAGACACGTGATTTACTCATCAGGTTAAATTACTCGTATTTTATACTTGCAATTTTCTTCACATGTGAATGAGCATATATATGATGATGTCAATAATTGTTTCACATTGAAAAATTAAGAAACCTTGTACTAGGCTGATACCGCGCTTTTCAATTGATTTTCAACTGGAACTTCAACTTCTTTTAACAATATAACTGTACACCATCTGATATTAGGTCTCAGCGTAAGAGTTTAGTTAATCTATATGGGCGACAAAAAATGCTGAATATTTTTTTTTTTTAAAAAAAAAACTGGGTCTTGCATTCTTTATTTCTTATCAAGACTTTGGGGAACTGTATATGTCAGAGAGAAAACAATCCCACTGAACCGTAACTCCGGATCTAACTAATCACTATTGACCTGAAAAAACAAATGTTAAAAGAGACCAAATTTTAAAACTATTTTTGTGAATCACAATGTAAAGGTTGATGGTTAGACTTTTTTGTAATGATTTTAAAAAGAGTCTACCCATCAACTGTACGAGAAATTTTTCATTGTGACGAGAACATAGGTGATACACTACGTATTTTTTATAAGTGGTCAAAATTTTTATTTTTTAAGTTATTAACTTTTTAATATACATTTTCTACAATTTGTATAATAACACATGATGTATCATCCATTATGCCAGTCACTCTGAAAAACTTCTTCAACAGCACATCATGCAATTTACAAAAAATAAGTTTAAAATTTGATTTATCTAATAAATAAAAAAAGGTCGTACCCAGTGCACAAGGCTCCAACTTTACGCAGGGTCTGGAAGAGGTGAATGTAGGCTAGCCTTACCCCCATTTATGGAGAGGCTGCTTCCAAGTCTCGAAAAAAAAAACAAATCATTAGAACGGCAGAAGTTAATGATGCTTATGCAAAGAAATATAAGAATGACAATTGTCAGTCCATAGACAAACAAAAATACTGACAGAGTTGAGTCAAACAACTTCTAAATCTAACATTCAGCTTGGAATTTATTTTTTTTCTGTTTAGGCGTATTTCAAAACCCTATACTCATATTACTTATTTGTTGGTTTTTATTATTAAAAACATGAGGATCAACTCTCTGGATGGAGAAAAAGGATATATCAGTATATTCCTGTGACACGAGAGTTTTTCTTCTCTTTGTTTCACGACTTGATGATCATAACTTGTTTAGTAATATTTTACCCTAGCTACTTTGAGTACAATCAATTTCAAAAACCAATTGGACAATATAGTTGGGATTGAAATCGATTGGATAGTTTTGTTTCAGTTGGAATGGTGATACATTCTTATCAGCAGAAGAGTGTGACAATTAGTGGTCCCTTTTGGTTGTCACAAAATATAGCAGATATATACACCAAGATGCTAAGAGAGACGCAAACAGTTGTGGTATCTAACGTCCCATTTTCCGCGAGAAACGCTGGAACATTAAAAAGAGAAGGCTACTAAATCCATCGCTACATACACAAAATGCAGAACTACTTGCAGTAGTACAGCACAGCCGTACCATCTTTCTCCTCTCCTCACTTTTATCATGCTTCTGTTTTCAAGAATTTGATCTTACATAACATCATGCTCGCTCTTATTGCACTACTTTTTCAATTTATAGTTTACTAAAGTATTACGCTTTCAGCAGTTTCCTAATTAAGTGTAAGCATAGATAGTTATGGATGTGCAAAACTCATTACATGACTTGCATGCATCAATCATTGACAATACTTATAAAAACATATGCATATAAGTATGAATGCATTTTTTTCTCACCGTCCTAAAATGGGGATGGTGCTCACCACTACTTCCTCACTAATTGTTGTTAATTGATTTTAAGATACGAATTTTCAAATTTAAGCTTACCTAACCGCTATCAATAAATCATACAATTTTAGTTTTGAAGCCTAATATATAGGAGGCAGATTGTCTGCCCTCCTAGTTGTAGTGCCCTTCCATGCCCTTGTATTTGTGCGGTCACGGTTAAATCACGTCAATATTTTATATTTTTATTATTTTTTGTCTTATTATCTCTATTAAAAAATTAATATAAAATATTGACGTGACTTAACCGTGACCGCACAAAATAGGAAGGCATGAAAGGGCACCACAACTAGGAGGGCAGACAATCTGTCTCCTAATATATATATTGAATAATTTTTCCATGCTAGATTAGGTTTTCTGGGAGCCATTTGAGATTTCATACAACTCTCATGTGATTCACGTGCATGCAATAAATGCCAAAATCGTATTCCCATTATTTAAAGTTGAAGCTTTCAAGTTTCGAAAAGGAATTATTTGCATATCTCTTCCACCTAATCCTCATCATCAAACAATATGGACCATTGAAATTTGATCAAACGGCTAAAGTTATTATAATTTTTAAAGTTGACCCGTGTTTTTAGTCGTTAGATCAAATTTCAAAGGTTCGGATTGTTTGTTGAGAAGGATTAGATGGAAGGAATCCAGAAATGATCATTTTTCTCAAGTTTTCACCAAAAAAAAAGTTAGAAGCTTTATGTGCAGTAACAATAGACTATCTGCATATGTGGATGGATTTTTCAAGGTGTGTGGGAATATAGTTCGGTACATTAAATGTAATAATACAATTGGTTGAAAACTTTTAAAAAAAAATAACCAATTTTATTATGACACTTAATATACTAAACCGTATTCTCAGCAAATTAAAAAAAAATCCAATATGTGAGGATAAAAATGTACATATACTTATTTTGTAAAACCTGAAAGTCATCAACTGAAGTGAGCCCCACCAAAAGGATCTAATGTGGTTCATAGAAATTTCCCAGTTGAAGTTGAACCCTACCACTAAAATGTATCTAGAAATTTCCCCATGTATTATGCACATCATCGATTTAAAATTAGGCAGTGCCTTGTTTTATATATGTTCATGTACGCCTACCTCTGAAATTTCCTGAATATTCTTGGTCCCATTCCCATAGTACCTGATATCATTATCAACAATCCTAGCTAGTGATGCATATGGTATAGACTTATCCTTTGAGGATAAGATTACCATAAAAATTTTATAATTGAAACCACTCAATCTCTTAATCTGCATTTGAAGATCATTTTTACAAAAAATCATTCAAATCGGACACCATTTAATCATCTAAATGTATCAAAATAAACCAACAGTGGCATGTTCATAATGAATCGTTGATCTGCTTAATAAATTTGGTTAACTAAACGATCTCTAATTCAAATGATTTTTTGTAAGAATGATCTTCAAATGAAGACTAAGAGATTTAATAGTTCTGATTATAAAAAATTTATGGTGAAGATACGTCATTTGCAAGTGAGAGAACAAGAAGGGAGAAATGCAAGCATTATCCTAAATTATTCCCAAATTTCTTATGCATGTCACACATTGGCTTATTGTTTTAATTACTCCAGTAATTAATCAATTATAAATTTAACAGGAGATTAATGAGATCCGAGAACTATTGACATTCACACGTGCTTAATTAGAATCTGAAAATTATATTATACAAAAGCTGGGGAGTTGTCCATATACAAATTTACTTTTGAACGCCTTGTTGCGTCCATTGAATAAGACATCATTCATTATATCAATACGATGAAGCGGAATTAGACCATGTCATGTGTTCATGTCAGTCATATAATACGAGAGCTGGATCTATATATACATACATACATATATATATATATATAGAGAGAGAGAGAGAGAGAGAGAGAGAGCGAGAGAGAGAGAGAGAGAGATCTATATGAAATGCAGATTAGCGAACTAGAGCCTCTCATTTAAAGGGATAACAGCAGAGAAGCAGACCCGCATAAATAAGACGGAGGGCTTTTGTAAAGCTTCCAAAAATGGAGCATTCGTGATAACTTGTTTGCTTTGTTCCTAAAGACCCTAATATTATTGATTATTCTAATTAATCATCTTTCCTTTCGCATTAGGGTGCAGATCAGTTTTTAATCGTCTAGAAATGGTAATTAGTGGGTGGTAGGGACACATAAAGGCCGACAGCTAGTCGTATGATTTAACGTATACACATTGATTTATTTATTGTGAAACATGCATGCTCAGGATCCATTCAAGCAGGGTCCATGTATCTTCTCACGGGCTCGTAGGATAGACTCTTGTAATCTTTTTAATCAGACTATTTGCACATTCAAAATTTATAATTCTCTGTCAAATGGTGCTCATTTCAAGTTTGCAAATCATGGCATTTAGGGAAATTTTCTATTTTAAACTGATCTCCTAAATTAGATTTAGCACATATTAGCGGTTTAATTTAATAATATTACACCTTAAAATGTGGACATGTTATCCATCCAAATTATGAGTTATAACATGTGTGGAGGGTTTAGGCGTGTTCAAGATGGCAGTTCGTGATGGCTTGGTTCTGGCGTGTTCAAGCGGTATTCAAAATTTAACTTTGAAAAGTGATTCCCTCCAGATTGTAACTGCTATTGTGGACCGTTCTCTTAATACGCCTTCAGTTTGATCTATTGTTGAGGATTCCAAATTCATTGTTGACAATCACTCAAGGTTACTCTACCCATGTACGCCGACAAGCGAATGGTATCGCCCACCGTCTAGCGCGTTTTGCTCTTCATTGTGATAGTTCTTGTACACTGCTTGACCACCAGATCTCACTGCCGACCTCTTGCTAGAGGATTGCTTGAGCTAGTCTCTTCCTTTACCGGAAGTTTTTGTACTGTTTCCTTGCATTTTAATGAAGCTATCGTTTCTATCAAAAAGATGTGTTGAATTGGTAATAACAAATAGACATGGCACGGTCACATGAATCAAGTATTCTTGTTAGCCTGTTAGTGGTTCAAAAGCCTATATAACGATTTTGCATAGTAGATGTAGGTTAAGTCAGTTAGTTAGGTAGTGTGTATGCCACTTGAATTATTTGTTGGATTGATAAGATTAATAAATAAAAAGATGTGTTTAGTCATAGATAAAAGAACAAAGCAAGTATCATTGTTGCTTGGATTAATTATATATATCGTAGTAGATATTACGATAAGATGCAATGAAAAGGTTTGATGAAAGGGATGGATCATGGAATATAGAGAAGGAAGGAGCCAAAGAGGTATTAACGGGGATGTACCTTTTGTAGCTGCTACCTTCCACCAATATTTCCTTCTCCTTTAAATATATTTGTTGTTTCTTTTGCTTTGCTAGTGAAACAACTGAATGCCTTCTTCTTTCTTTGGGTTCCACTGCCTGTGCCTCTGGCCCTCTGGCAACTGGGAAATGCAAACGACGCATTAGTTTGTTTGTGTGTTCGGCAATTGGCATTGGTGCAAGAGAAAGAAGAAGGCAGCCTTGCCTATAACTAAAACCTTTATTTTTTTGTGAATACTAATTAATCGAAATCGCTTATCCACAACTCTTACGCTTTTTCCTTTTCCTTTTCTGTCTCACTCCCCTCTGCGCTTTGGTCCTGGTGCCCTCCACCTTACATCTACATCCATTCCATACATTTATCATATCATCAAAAAATGATATAATAATTTCATTGATTTTATAAATTGATTAAGATGCAGTTTATATTTAAACTACCTATTAATAAAACCTTGGTTGTCAACCAAAACTTTATGTAATTACTATTTTAACCCCCTCACCGAAACTAAACAAAAAAAATGAGCAATTTAGTAATTCATAAACACAAAGTTTGCTGTTTTTTACAACAACCTCACAGCCAATTAGTATAACATGTCCTATTTAAATATTAAAATTAAATTTTTTTAATACTGTTCATCATTGCCCCAATTTTCATAACTGATATTTTAAATTTTTTTTTTAAAAAACTAATCACACTTCATATTAAAAAATAAATAAAATTATTCACAGTGTGCAACAAATGCTTCTTTGGAATATGGCAGACATAACAAATCTGAATTTGTACAGTTTGACTAACGTAGTGCGATCACATCTTCTTGCACGGAATTTGAATTTTTTTTTTTTTTTTTTTTTTTTTTTTTTTTGTAAATGGGAATGGTTATTAGCACTCTAAAAATTTCATTTTACACTTTTTATAAGTGTATTTTTCTTTCTAATTATAAAAAGTATGGATTACCAAATGAGATTTTTGGAATGCTAATAACAATTCGCTAATAAATTAGAATAATTTATAATAGTATATAGTCTTTAATAAGAAAATGTCAAATATAAAGTCACAAAATCATTCACAAAAGGAACTGAGAAATATAATCGTCTTACAATACCATCAACTTTACTTAATCAAAATCAAAACAAGAAACAAATATTTCTTGCCTCCAGACATCTGCTAGTCCATGCATTGACGCTTTGCTCCCATGCAGATTACCAGCATCATATCGTTTGTGGGCCTCCTCCACTTGGACAAAAATTGAAAGAAAGAAAAAAAAAACTAATAAAAATAGCTTGAAAACTTTGAATTTTAACGAAAATGACATAATAAAGGGTAAAATGAATGGTACTATGATTGATTTTTTATGTACAAATATGATTTTTTATTAAAATAAATAATACCAGGAGTTTTTCGTTAAAATTCTCTTTTAAATCTTGCAAGGAGACAAAAATTGACAGATCTGGTGCAGTCTAGATTTGGTGTATAGAATCTTGTTTGAAACATTTAAAAAAATTTGTGGGCTTTTGAGTTCAGCCTAAAGCCCAACCAAACCATTCCCAATGTTTGGCCCACATTTCAACATATAGACATAGTACTTCTTTAATCCCATCTATAACCCACAAAGGGGTAGATTGTGCCATTGGAGTCAATCATCCATTTTGGAGTACCTGTTTAAGAATCACCTGAAAAGTGTTTTTTTTTCAAAAAAAAGCCAAAAGCACTTTATGTCATTTCGGAAGCAATTTTAAACAAGTACAAATGCATGCATTTCAAATCAATTGTTATGAGTTATAATATGATTAATATTGGTCTCTTATTTTCCCCCCAATTATTCACTTAGGAACAGTGTGGTAAATCTTTTGTATGTGAATATTGTGTTCAACACATTGTTATAATCTTTTGCATGTAAACAGAGTATCGACCAAATCTTTTGTATATAAATAGTATGCTTACACATCAAGTATTATATTTTGTGTATAAATAGTACTATATACAAAATTTTCGTATGGTTGTCACATATGAAGGAGACTGAAACTAGTCAACTCCAAAAGTTCAAGCAATGACCTTTTCTTTTAAGTCCCCAAAGAAAAAAACCCAACAAGATCATCTCCGGATCTTTTTGGTGAGGATCATAGGAATCCATAAATCGTGTTCGTTCATTATACATCATGCGATCAGTTTTTGTCAGGTACTGTTTGTATTTAATTTTAAATAAATATATTTCAAATGATTTCTGACCACACGATATACGATAAACAGATATGATTTACGGATCCCCCGGATCCTCACAAAGAGGATCCGGATTCGAAAATAACTACACCGAATAACTAAGGAAGTGATTTTCTAACTCTCGTTTTTCTCTTCAAGCATTATCTCTCTTTTATTTATTTTTTTTAATCGTAAGATTGAATATATCAAAATCGAATGATATACAGAACCAAAAAATTAGTTGCATGAAAAAAAATGGGAGTATAAAATCATTATCAATTTTCTATATACCATTTATCCAATGAAAGATGGGCAGAAAATTGTAGACATAGAAGAAAGGAATGAAGGGAAAGCATTTGAAAGCAAAATATTCCATATACCATTTATCAACTGATTAAAAAACAAAAATATTATAGAAAAAAAAAAGGTAAAAAATCACTTCACAGTTTTAACACACATTCCAATCACACAAACCAATCACAATAGCAATTCCAATCACAGTAACTAGATCTTTCTTTCTTCCTTTGTTTCATGCATTGGTCAAGATGTTGCATTCGGAGCTCGACCCTTATTCATCTCGGGTCCGGGTCCTTGCCATTCCTCCCCCGATTGCACCACCATACCTGGATTATACGGCGGAACCACCGCAGCATTCCTCACTCCATAGAACACCTGTTGCTGCTGCTGCTGCTGGCTCACTCCATTGGAAACCACCCGAGCTGACACGTCATACGGGTCCATTCCCGCCACTGGCCTCAACCCTCCGCCATATATTTGACCCATACCTGGTATTGGGTTATGGTACCCCATTGGAATCTGACTCCCTACTTGGTGGTATTGCTGATGGACATACTGACTCTGAATCGGAAACGGCTGGACCTGTACGGTTGTGGGTGGAACCTGACCCGGATAATAGTAAACGGGTACTGGCTGAACCATATGACCCGGGTAATTAGGATCCGGCATATAATGCACCCCGGGGTTGCCCGCGAACCCAGTTGCTTGCGACACGGGCAACTCAACCGTCTCGGAAAATCCCTCCGATTGATTCTCTTTCGTCTCGATGGCTTGATTCTCGATGGCTTGATTGGAATCGGGTCGGGTTTTCACCGGTGGTAGACTCGGCATCGACGGCACGGATGGCACAGACGACGTCGAGCAGAACGGCGAGGAAGTTAGCGGGGCAGGTGAACCCGGATCCGAAACCGACACGTTGTCATGCAATACGGGTCGGGCCTTCGGTTTGAACTCGTCACCGCGAGAGGGAGTGTCGTCGGAATTGTCCAACCCGAATAAGTAGTCAGGCACTTCGGAGAAGATCGAAGAAGCTTCGGAGCGGTTCCGCTCGAGCATCGCGGAATTGGACGCGCCGCTGTTGAGAGCGTCGAGGAACCAGAGCTCGCGCTTGGCGGAGCCGTCGAGGAGCGAGCTGATGCTGGAGGATCGCGAGTTAATCGAATCGTCGCTGCCTTTGACGAAGAGAAAGAGGCGGAGCCGCGCCGACTTTGAGTTTAGATTCTGTGCGACGCGGTCGTACTCCTCCATCATGTTGTCGACGTCCTCGTCGGTGGTGACAGAGATCAACGAGTCGAGGTCCTCGTTCGGCAGCTGGTACTTCACCGTCACGTCACTCAACCCTGCCGCACGCAATCAAAACCCATCAATTAACAAAATTAATTAAGCAACAGAATTGCGATAATACGCCGTCGTTTCAACGAGTTTACTTGCCTGAGAGTTTAGATAACTTCGAGAGAAGGGCGGAGAAAGAGGTGGTGCGCTGGACGGCGACAATTCGGGTATCGCCTCCGACATAGCGAAGCTGATTGTCGTGCGGGCGAGGCAAGATCTTGCCGCCGAAGCTGCACATGAACCGTACACGCGAGTTGAGATCGTGAGACGGGTGGTCCGAGCGCGGGGTCGAGGCGACCGAGTCGGTGGCGGCGGAGTCCAACTCGGAGGGGTGGAGTGACGCCATTATCCGACGGCGATATGAACTCTGCTGTCTGCAACGAAAAGTTGTGAAGCGGTTAGCTTTTGGTGTATCGGATTCAACGCCGAGGATTTTTCGAATTAAAATATTTTATTTCTTTTGCTGATGGATCGGCGTGGAGTCCGAAATCGAGTTGGAGACGGTGAAGAATGTCTGGGAGTGGAAATAGAGAGAGGTTTGGATGTATCATGTATGTGACGGCTAGGGGCGTCACAGATTCCCTCACCCGACCCTAGTTTTCAGTTGGGTTTTTGACCTGGGTCCCGCTTACTATAGTTTCTTTCTGTTTTTTTTACCTAATTTAGTTAAAATAAATGATAAAGAGACTTTTTTAAGGAGTGTGCGTGCTCCACACATATCATTTTACTTCTCATATATCTTTTAATTTTTTATCGTCAGATCGGATAAAATGAATAAATCAAACAATATAAATTAATAAAGGATGTGTGAAAAGTAAAAAAGTATGTGTAGATAGCACAATCATTTTTCAAAGTGAATATTTCTCATTGACTCGTCATCTCATAGTTCAATATTAATTTTGTGCCAATATTATAGATTATTATGCAAAAAACATCAGGTGACAGAGAGTTCCCACTTTTGAGAATCTCATTTAGCATTTCTTTTTAGCAATTATTCACTTCGTATTATGATGTAATGGTATTACTCTTCGCTTATAAGTGAAGTTTGATTATCGTCAAAGACGAATTTAAATTATATTATTAGTGCTAGTTCATTGCGAGGCTTAACCCACACTTAGCTTACTCTCCACTCTTTTAATGTTAATATTATTTGTTAAAAAAAAATTGAGTATAAATTAATGTCACACCATTACACAACTATTAACCACTTGGCATTGAAAAATGATATGGTCGGTTTTATTTTTCCTTCATTTTTAATGCTATTATTCTTTCTCTCAGATCAGTTTGCAATTTCATTGAGATGAGATGAGAGAGCGGATGGCGGAGTTGAGTGAGCTAGGTGGAGGAAGGTGGTGGAAAAAGGAAAGGGATCCTTCCTGGATTCTTTCCACCAAGTCCATCATTTATGCTCATATTAAAATTTAATTAAATGATTAAAATTATTATAACTTCTAAATGGACCCCTTATTTATAATATTTGAATCAAATTTCAATAATTCAGATGAGTGAACTTATGAATTTGGATCCGACGATGATTCATTTCCGTGGAAAAATGCTTTAAGGGGACCGGGTACCTGGGCCAGGGGTCATTGTCTCATTGTCAGATGCAACGTGGCTGTTTGTCACCACTTTGTCCCGGGGTTTTGCTGGCCCCTCCGGCTTGCTTCGCGGGTCCCCTCACCGCCCAATCATAGTAACGAGGATCCTCTCTGGATCCTTGTACGAGGATCATGGAGATTCTTAAATCGTATCTGTTTATCGTATATTATACGGTTATAAATTATTTTAAATATTTTTATTTAAAATTAAATATAAATAGTATTTGACAAATGTACAATAAACGGATACGATTTGAGAATTTTCAAGATCCTCACAAATAGGATCCTCATTCCAATCATAAGAGTGTTTGATGTTCAACATTTATCTAAAAATAAATTTCAGCGTGCCGAAAAATAGAGTGTTACATCATGTCTCATTATAAGTGATAAAATATTTAACTAATATTTTTCGGTACTTATATAATATCACGTAGTGTACCATTTCGTATTCAAACACACTAAATAATTTCTTCAACCTTAACGTTGTGGGGTTCTTTCTTGGACTAGAAGAACTAATATAAAACTGAGACGTAAACTAAGTAAGAAATTAATCATGCAATACCAAATGAGAAACTTAAATTAGTGGGATATGATGAGTAATAGCCCCTTGACATATTAACAATGTCATTGACCACCCATATTACCATGGTCATCTACAGCTAATTCAAGCTATTTTGATAAATAATTTGATATTTATAAATATAATTTTTGGACGTGTCGTTAACGCACTTCACATAAATCGCAATTTAAAATCGAACACATTATAAACATATATTGTTGTCGTATTATCTTAATCAAAATTAATATATTTTTTTTAAGAAATACTTAATACCATTTTAACTAACATTATGTTTGGATGAAGAAATTTAAGATTACAAAGGAATTTTAAAATGATGAAAATTTAAATAATGGAGTTTTATTCTATAGAATTTGTGAATTTTCTTGTTTGGGTAACCTAAAAGAACAATGAAATTGAATACGGAATTTGTTGTTTTTAAACTCTAACACCTATTTACATGGAATTTAAACTTGAGAATTGGAAGTTCCAAATTCTAAGTTTTTTTCCATGCGGAAATTCTAAATTTCTATGTTTATGAATCCAAACAAGAGAATTAGTACATGTCAATTTATAAATTCTGTCTTTAATCCAAAATCTAAATTTATTTCCCTCGTCCAAACATAGTGTAAGTAAAAATCAGGTGTTGCTAAACGAACTCATGACCAATAATAAGATTGTAAGGTAATTTTCTTCTCTGTTCACGTTTGTTTATAGAATAATTGAAATCAAATTATCCTCCTTAAAATGAGAGCAAAAATTGAGATATTGTTTTGTGGTTCAATACGAAGGGAAAAGGTCAAAGTGAATAAATGGGGTATTAATTTATAGAATATGAGTCTTTGTCTCTGATAAAGTTGGGAATAATTAAAGGGACGTTTATGGTAATATCTAAGTTGGGCGGTGGAACTGGCAAACAAACCTTTTAGAGACAGAGACATTGCAACGTACATTAGTTAGCTCTCTTATATTAGCAAGCACTGTAGATTCTTACATGTAATCGAAGATGTATCTTGATCATATTATAAAACCGAATCAAATTGTATGATAAAAAAAAGATGTGTTGACCAAAAACCGGCCAAACTCAGTTTGAAACCAAACTGAATCGGTCTGACCGATTTCAATTTTATTTCTACATAATGGGTCCAAACTAAACTGAACCGAACTGTATTATTAATTTTTCTTTTTAAGAATCCATTAAGCTTTTGTTTTTATTTAAGTGTTTAGCCCAAATATAAATTCCAAACATAAGCCCAAATAAAATTACACTTACAAACCAAGCCCAAAATCTACTCAAAGTTTCAAACATCTGGGCACCTTCTTGGTTAAAATACACTTGGTGTTTTTTTTTTTTTTTTTGACTTTTTTTATTAGCACCCCACATAATGTTGAATATATCTCACATTAAAATTTAATGTTAAATGACTTGTATATCTTAATATGCAATGACTATATCGACCTTATAAGATTATAAAAAAAAATTAAAATAATTCTAAATACACCTCGAATAACACATCCCAATATTATTTATCTTCTTCAACTCTCAAAACCATTCACTCTCCATTGTATGTAGAACAAAACCCTAATCAATAAAACTACAAAGACGTTAATTGAAAAAAATTATTCATAAGATAATCTTAATCCAAAACCAAATACACTTCACATTGATAATTGATATTCAATAAATTAATCCCAACTTTTGTCCCCATCTTCATATTCCTACTTGGGCAGTTTCCATCTTTTTGATCCTGATTCATTCAATCAAATCAATCTTCCATACCAAATCAAGTAACCCCTTAATTAGTCTTATTAGTTGGTTGTTCGGCTCAGAGAAGCAATACAAAGGCCCTCATTTGCAAGTCTTGTTTAAAGGATATATGATTTCCACATATTTTCGAGGAGAGCTTGGAAAGGTTGTCCCTTTCTTTTGCATACACATCTTTTAGGTTTCGCAACATTATTTTGCTTATCTTGGGTTGAAGTCCAAACAAAAATAAATGGAGGAACTGAAGCACTGGCCTTTCCTTTAAATGTTGTGACCTCAAGTTTTTAATCAAAGCAATGTTACTCTTTAATCAACATTTGGCGTGGCGTGGAAGAAGAAAAAGAATAATTGTGGCCGGTTCTTGCTAAAGAAGGAGGAGGGCTAAAAATTTTTACCCACCTTTGACTATGACTAACCATTATTCTACAAAATCAAAAGTAAAATCATATCATTTACAAACGAGCTTTAAGTCAAGACGATTTTGAATTCATTTCAAATTGAAAAGACTACCAAAGGCCATAAGAATAGTGTAAGGTAATGAATCCCGCTAGATTAGGGATTGCGATGCCTATCAATAATATGGATCCCATTAAAATCGAATAATTTAGGATCCTAATTTAGAGGAATTCAATGCATGCTTGCCTATGGTACTCGTCTGATCCAACCTTTGATCTTTTTTCATGAACAACGGTTGAATTTCCAACGTGACAGTCGACCCTCGAATATATTACTTTGTCAACTGACTCAATTAAAGCGTGCATGCTATTATTTCCGTGCCTCTTTACGATACAGATATCGAGGACCAATTATTTGCCACTCTTGCAAAAAAGTTACGTAAAGTTTTATTTATTTATTGAGTAATGTTAAAGAAACTAAATTTAAATATTAAATTTGCAAACGATGTATCATCAATAAAAGTAAGCATGTTTATTAACGTGTAAGTAATAAATTAATTGTCAACATCCATATAATTTAATTTTCAAAATTTTATTTACATATTTATATTCCTAACATTACTCTTATTTATTTGAATAACAGAGAATACTAAACAGAAGCCTCATTAAATACAAAAACGACAATATTTATATTAAAACTCGAGTTAGCTAACTAATTTGTTATATATTTATCTTTTTGTAAATGTATTTTAATCACACTTTCTCAGTACTCTCTTAAGTTGTCTGTAGCTATGCATAATTGTGTCCAAAGAATGTAAATTATCTACTTGGATTTGCTTCAATAACATAACAATTGATGAAATTGATATTCTACCATAAAAACACATAGCAAACATTGTCCCTTACCGATGTAGAATAACTCTCAACATGCCCCCGCACATGTGGCGGATTTCAAGCCTACACATGGACAACAACTGGGTGATGTGGAGTGTGTGGCCGTTTGGCTTCACACAAGGACAACCCGCTCTAATACCATGATGAAATTGAGGTTCCACCATAAAACCAATTGGCAATATAGGGAGTAGTGCAAAACCATATAAGCACATAGCAAACCTTATCCTTCACCAATGTGGGACAACTCTCAACAACAATAGCCTTGGAATCCAGTTCAATACTCAAATCAATAACACTCTTGTCAAAAGCAAATTGTAAACCAAGGTATAAACTTCATAAATTAGCATCACAAACCTG